ATTACATGTTAATAACTTGATTGGAATTATAACCTTGAATTGACAGTTTGATACTTTGAAAATTTATGGTAGAATCAAGTACTCTACATAGATGGAAGGGGCTCAAAGGAGTCAGTGTGCTAAAATTTCTTCATTTTCCTTGTTAAGGATCAGAGGTGCTAGTTTCAAATCCTTTTTAGTCTGAAATCTGTATGCTAGATATTGAGTAAGGTGGTTTTATTGTTTTTTGTCACTTTGAATAATATTTCTGTTCATGTTAAAAACAAAATCAACTCTCTGTATAAATATATCAGGTGACCGTTAAGGCCCATGGGCCTCTTGTTCTCATTTTGCATGGCAATAACGAGACAAGGGCGATTTTTTTTTTATTGTGTAGTTTGTAAAGCGTTCATTATGGACATAACCTTGTCTTTTTATAGTTGTGTAGAGACCCGGCATAGAGCAAGCCTCCGAAAATCCCCATCCCCCCCCCGATGTTCCAGACGCGAATCACGAACCCCCCATTCCTTATTTGTACCGAAATGAGCGCCATTTGTACACAAGACTAATAAGTCATAATCATTTTAACGCTTGCCTGTATCTCAATCCTTACCTTTATTCAAACGTTTACGGGACTTAGGTGACTAACGAGTAATAACGACATGCGGACCAATTTTTCAGATTTTTTTTAAAGATGGCGGCTGGCGCATTCATGACTTTTTTTTTATTACTTGCACGATAAAATCGGCAATGCGCACGGTGCCATGAAATGCGCGTGGGCCTGAGAACCAAGTTATCAAATTTTTTTGGCCTCAGTTAGTCTGTCATTCAATGTGTCACTTTGTCTGAGGTGTATCTCATATAATCCTGTCACAGTTGCAGAGTATTGTGTGGAAGTATACCTTCTGGGATAGCAGAGTCATGTACTGAAATAAAATTTCTCGTTTCCAAAAGCATACATTTTGAAGCTTGTCAGGTAAACATAGTGTGGATCGTGTAAATACATTACCTGTTGATCTATCAAAAGTAACTCGGATGCTATTTGTTGGAATTTTCAGACAAGTCTGGACTGGAGGTGTTAGAGAAATATGTTACAGTCATTGACACCCCGCCAGAGGAGGAGGTATGTCCCGTGGATAGAACCAAGGAAGAGAAAATTAACAACTTTCTGTTATATACTTTTATCACATAATGTACTGTGTTATCCAGGGAATATACCCGTTTCATATTTTACGCATTAAACCCATGTAGTATGTGACCTATCAGCCTTGTGATTGGTTGTAAGTCTCAATTGATTCAATTGTGACGTCACGCCTAGGACAAGTACATGACGTCACAGACTTACGCACTGGAGTCAAAATGGTGGCTTTTTACATTTCAAGGTTGCATGAAAATTGTAGATTTACGCGAATAAATACAACAAATCTTGATTATGTGATAAAAAGGATCTTACTATCATTTCCATTCATATGAAATTTATGAAACTCGTCACAAATATTTCATTTTTTATTGATAAATTCTTAGACTTGTTTCATAAATCTCATATGAAATGGAAACTCATGTAAGATCCTTTATATATGAAAATTCATTGCAACAAAAATTATTTTTTTACTAGCCCTGACATAAAATTTACAAGTCTCTCAAAGACATAGAAAAATTGAAAACGTACATCCATGTACCGTAAAAACCCATGTAATTTGCGCACCTGTGTAATTTGCGCAGGTACTTTTTGAGGCTGAAAATCTGGAAAAAAGCTTCTACTCAAATATTTTGCGCACCCAAAAAATCTGGAAAAAAACCGATGTTCATGCTCCGAAAATCGATCTCTGAATAATTTTTTTTAAAATATATTTCTATGAATTTTTTTTCATTGATGTAAAATGATATTTAAAACCAAGAAGAAACTACGTAAAATGTGTATTTTGTTGCTTGTTTTCTTTGAATTATCTGATCACACATGACACACACGTGTGCGCATATCGGCATACATATATCAATTCATTTTAGCAATATTTTACATAAAACATTTACTTGCTTACAAAAACATATCAATTAATAAGTAATTCGATGTTTAATAACCGCTGGTGCATATCTCCTGGTGAAAGACATAATTAGATACCTTTTATTGATCATAATTACGATNCAGAACTTACATGGAACGGAGCTTAAATTGAACAACTACATTTTCGTAATAGTATGGGGAAACGCACCGAGATGTCGAAACGTAATGTCGTAAGTTGATCGGCGATTCTCTGGCATAGGAATTTGGCTAAACTTTTTTTGTTAACGGTTACCTATTTAATAATACTTTTCACATAAACTCACATAACAACACGTTATGTATCTTTTATTAATGTTTGACATAAATAAATTTGTTGACCGTCATTTGTCTTAGAGTTCCGTGTATAATAAATAAGGGAAATAATCCAAGATGGCGATCTCCCAGAATCGTCGATCTTTTCCTGAAAAAAACTTGAAATTTTCTATACCTGTGTATTTTACGCACCCCCCACTTTGGGTATTAAATTTCTGAAAAAAAAGTGCGCAAATTACATGGGTTTTTACGGTATTGGAAATAATTTGAATATTATTTAATGATTATGAAGACACAAAATTTAAGTCAGTTCTTTTGAATATTTCAATACCTTTGTCTACAGGAATAATTTTTTTAAAATTCATTTAGTCATTGAGCAGGTATGTTTGTGAAATCCTCAAGTCTCAAATTGAAAAATTGTTTATGTGTAGGATTGCTGTATCTGTTGTGAAAAGCTGACACATCCGTCGGGATACGGGGAAGAACAGAAGGAGGCTACCGTTGTGTTTCAGCTCAGCAAGTGTACTCATATGTTCCACAAACTGTGTATCAACGCTATGTATGAGAGTGGAGCCAAGGTAAGGGGAAATAACTCTGTATCAACGCTATGTATGAGAGTGGAGCCAAGGTAAGGGGAAATAACTCTGTATCAACGCTATGTATGAGAGTGGAGCCAAGGTAAGGGGAAATAACTCTGTATCAACGCTATGTATGAGAGTGGAGCCAAGGTAAGGGGAAATAACTCTGTATCAACGCTATGTATGAGAGTGGAGCCAAGGTAAGGGGAAATAACTCTGTATCAACGCTATGTATGAGAGTGGAGCCAAGGTAAGGGGAAATAACTCTGTATCAACGCTATGTATGAGAGTGAAGCCAAGGTAAGGGGAAATAACTCTGTATCAACGCTATGTATGAGAGTGGAGCCAAGGTAAGGGGAAATAACTCTGTATCAACGCTATGTATAAGAGTGAAGCCAAGGTAAGGGGAAATACATCTGTATCAATGCTATATGTATTATAGTGGAGCCAAGGTAAGTGGGAAGTACCTATAAATCAACTCTTTGTTAGAGAGTGGAGCCAAGGTAAGGGGAAATAACTCTGTATCAACGCTATGTATGAGAGTGGAGCCAAGGTAAGGGGCCAATAACTATAAATCACATCTATGTACAAGAGTGGGCCAAGGTAAGGGGAAATAACTCTGTATCAACACTATGTATGAGAGTGGAGCCAAGGTAAGGGGAAATAACTCTGTATCACGCTATGTATTATAGTGGAGCCAAGGTAAGGGGCCAATAACTATAAATCACATCTATGTACAAGAGTGGAGCCAAGGTAAGGGGCCAATAACTTAAAGTTCCATTAGGTAGTAAGTAAGGGGACATAACTCTGTATTAATACCTTGATTGGAGTGGAGCCAAGGTAAGGGGCAAATAACTTTAAATCACCTCTATGTTTAAGAGTGGAGCCAAGGTAAGGGGCCAATAACTTTAAGTTCCATTAGGTAGCAACAAGGGAAACTTATTCTGTATCATCACCATAATATTAGTTATATGGTTTGTTACCGAGGTACTATGGAACCAGAGGGTCAGAAGGCCGAACCTCCTATGAATTTTACTGACTCTCTCTGGTTCCATAGTAGGTCAGTAACAAACCTTATAACGAATTTATCGCACCGAGGAAGTTTTTATACCCCCTTTTTGATACTACTCGGACATATTTTGTCTTGCTCAAGTGTCTGCAATTAATCTAAAAACTGTATAACATTTGAACTGTATAAGATAAAGGCTTCATATTTGGTATGCATACTCAACCAATAAAGTCCTTGACATAACCCCAAAGGTCATGACTGTGACCTTGTTACATTTTAACGTCTTCTCTGCGTGAATCTTCTTCCTTTTTTTCATCAATTTCTACTCGGGTCGTCTGCCCAAATCGTGCCATATTTCTCAACAAGCTGAGTCGCCGAGATGCTTTTAAATAGTACCTGACATCCTGTCAAGCGGGAAGTCAACTATTTTCAACCGACATAGGGGAGGCAACTCTTATAAATGTTTTCAAAAGTTTTTAACCTTGTCAGGACGAATCTGTACAAAAAAATACACAGGAAGGTGTTCATTCGGGGGTATTTGGAAAGACTTATTTTAGACCTGATTTGTTTTAATTTCAAAGTGACAAGGACCGCCATATTGCCCCCTAAGAAATTTTACTGACCCCTATAGTCTCGTTGGGGGGGTCACCATGTGACCTGATTTTAACCAATCAGATGCGACAATTCTGTCCGAGGTGCGATAAGTTTATTTGGAAGTGCTAATTGCTAAGTTGAACTTCATAAATGATATTGAAAATACATTTGATAATGATTTGTATCACTAATTAAACAAGTATTTATTTTCAGTGAGGATTAATAAAATATGACCATTTCAGTGTTTCATATTATATTCCTTGAGAGGGGAAATTACTCCGTAACAATTTTATGTGAAACTTATACACGAAACCAAGCTTTTATGATATGATCGTTTTTTTCGAAGGTTGAAATGAAATATTTGAATATCTGACAGCTGGAACAGTTTTACTGTTAAGACTGGCATGAGGATAGTGATCTATTATGTACTAATTTCACTCTGTATTTCAGCAGAATGGCTGTGTGCAGTGCCCAACTTGTAAGACAATATACGGTGAAAAGCATGGGAATTGTCCCCGGGGTGTGATGGAGTACCATCGTATCCCCCAGTCCCTACCCAGCTACTCGGACTGTCATAGTATCAGGATCCTCTATCACATTCCCCCAGGGGTACAGGGACCCGATAATCCTCACCCTGGAAAACGCTACTCCACTCGTGGATTCCCAAGAGTTGGTTTCCTTCCGGACAATGAAAAGGGGCGCAAGGTAGGATTTAAAATTTTCCGGTCAGCCAAAACCTTTAAATTGCTTGTTTTTAAATACGTAATGGAGCAAGCTTTATTGATCACTTAATTTTTCAATTTGATGTTTCAAATCTACTTTAAGATAAAAGAAAATATCACCTTTGACCATATCATAATAAACTTTTTTTTTTGCTTAGTTCAAGAAGGAAAAAATTGGTACATGGGGAAAATATCATTTTAAGCGATATATCATAATAAGCGATATCATAATGACCGATATCATAATAACCAACGATATCATAATAACCGATATATCATAATAACCGATATAGTAAGTGGGTTACACTGTAGAGGCATTTTTCTTGTTTTGTTAGGTTCAGATTATTGAAGATTTTTTTTTACATTTTGGCTAATCCAAAGATTGAAAGAAAAATTACTTAGTTTGAAAATTTTATAGGTATTGAAGCTCCTGATGCTGGCTTGGAAAAGACGACTGACATTCACGATCGGTACATCTACCACCACAGGGGAAGGTGACACTGTTACTTGGAATGAAATCCATCATAAAACAGAATTCGGAACGAACTATTCTGGGCATGGATACCCTGATCCAAACTATCTGGAAAATGTCCTCATGGAATTAGCTGTGCATGGCGTGACTGAAAGGGATTTGTGATTGATTGCAAGAATGAAGATATACAGGAAGAAAGAATATCACTTGAAAGAAAGGAGGGAACAAAAACAAAAACAATGATGTTAATGATGGTGAAAAATAGATAAAAGAGCCTCAAAATGGTCAAGTTCCCACAGAAGTGACAGAAAGAAAGAAGTAAAGATTCAGGTTGACCTTGAATACTGCTTGAAAGCTGTGAATGTATGAAAGCCAAAAATCTGCAATGGTTACATTAGGGCTGGTACTTACTTAACTAAAGGGAACATTTTATTTTTCCAGAATTAAGGTAAAGAGTACTACTGCCTCGGGTTTAATCCTGAAGAAGAGTTCCACTCGGTGTTTATTTTGTCTTGGGAGTATTCTCCCTTCTCAATAGAAGATCAAATTACAAAAAGGAGTTTTTCTGTCTGAAAGTCATTTCCCGTATCAAGTTTTCCAAAGGCTTTGGGGCCCAAAAATTGGACACTCAGTATGTGTAAAATGTCGTACCGAAATGACTTGATTCTTGATACTTGGTCATAGATGTGCGAGATTCTTTAAGCCCCCTCGTCTCGATTTAAGAACTGGCCCACTGCGGCGTATCCAGACTGCTTCCTTTATCTGCCACTTGAACAAAGCATAGCTGAATCGAGTCATTTCGGTACATATATAACAAGTATTGTACATACGCTTACAGCATATCCGAATCTACATAGTTTTTGTGGACAACTCATACACATTTTACACCTTTGTGTGCATACGCTTCATTGGTCAGTTGTCTGATGAAGGTGACAGTGTACATATCGTACTAGTCATCGAAACGTCACATTGACAATTTTATTGTTTGTGTAAAAAGAACTTTTCATAATGTCAAAGTTTTTATTAGTGTCTCAATTAATACAATAATCTTTTTATACCATTATTGAATTTGAGAATTTCTGGAATTTTTTTATCAAAAGTTATAATGTAGGTTTAAGATGAATGCATGTGTTTTGAATGTACTTTAAGTAAGATTTTGTTGTGTGTCGCTGTTTAATTTTAACTACTGTATGTACCAGCATGACACCTTATATACATGAATTTTGTGTCCTTGTGTAGTTTACATATGATTCAATACAATTAATTAACACATTTATACATCTGGTGCTTTCGCTTCATTTGGATATTTACATTAACTCTTCACTGCAATAACTTGTTGGTATTAGGATGTTAAGGTTGCCTGTCCCACTGCACTATTGGTTTACCTATATACAGTTACCTCCCCTTAACTTCCTTAAGGATCCCTCTCCCACTGCACTGTTGGTTTACCTATATACAGTTACCTCCCCTTAACTTCCGCTGGAATACAACTGTACCACAGTTTGGTAAGGCCACTTCCATTGACAAGATAGCTCGTTTGGTAAGAGCATGGAATTAGATCAGAGGCCCTGCTACCTAAGTCCTTGGTTAGAGTGATAGTATAACAATCTGAAGTCCAGGGTTAAAAACCTGCTGCAGTGCTTGCCCCACTCAATATTTACACTCAGAACACTGTTGCTGACTATATTTTGTTAGTTCATCTTTACTTTTTCGCGTTAAAAGTCCCACAAGGAATGTGTTTTTTTCCAGAAATGGCAAATGGCAACGGCAGAAGTGCAGGAAATGACAGTTTCTAATACTTATTTACAGTTTTTGGCAGTGGGACGGGGATCCTTAAACAGTCTCCAATACTTAGTTACAGTTTGTAGTAGTGGTACGGGGATCCTTAAACAGTCTTCAATACCTAGTTACAGTTTTTGGCAGTGGGACGGGGATCCTTAAATCTCGATACACTTATTGATATTTTTTCATAGAAAGAATTGTCACTTATTTTTTCATTATGAAAAGAACATTTTCTTAAAATATGTATACGTAGGAAAAAGAATTTCATACCAAAACAATTGTCTAATTCTAAAACAATTTTGGATGAAAAGCACTGAATACAATTGAAGTGTTTCTTCAGACTGTTTTTTTTGCAATAGTGAATAAAAAAACTAAGTTGGACGGAGATGGGAGAATGGACAGAGATAGGAGAATGGACAGAGAAATGGGAGAATGGACAGAGAGATAGGAGATTTAGATATGAAGTCTTTTGGTCACTTAAGATGTAAAAAGGAAAAAATATTTACTGCAGTTTTTTGATTCTATCTAAAATTATTTTTCATGACACATCAATTATTTGCAGTAAAAGTGTATTCTTTCAACCTTTCTCATACATGTGTAGCTATTATCAAGCATTATTTTATAAAAAAAAGTCTGATATTAAATTCTAGTACATGTAATGGCACTGGTTTGGTGAATGTCATGTACGCTTATACCTGGTACCCCTCCATCACTTGGTTCAGGTTTATGTTATGTTATGAGATTAAACACATGGTAGACAATAGATCTATGTATTTAAATACTGATTTCTGATAGACCAGACTTCCAACTTGAGAACGTGTGCAGTATTGATGTTGTTAAGTGTTTGATAACAATAAATTAAGAAAAAATGTGTAATAATTAAGGAAGAAAAGTAATTTTCCGAATACATTTTTCCTAACTTCTGTACTTGTTATTGAATTTAATGTATATTGGAAATTTGATATTTTTCAGTTACATCTATTAGCCTTTGAAAATTGAATAAGCTTTTAAGATATAGTTTTATATCTATTTCTCTATTGGGTATTTTACATATTTTCAAATAGCGTTTTTAAGCTTCCGTATTATTTGGGGCATATAGTGTTATCCATGTCTGTCCCAACATATGCCGTCATTGCTATAGCAACTTCATATCCTTAACCGATATCACCAATTCTACAGAGGTCTAGTAGGAGAACATCTCAATTAACAGGTATCCAACCATTCTAAAGAGGTCTAGTAGGAAAATATCTCAATTAACTGGTATCAACCATTCTACAGAGGTCTAGTAGGAAAATATCTCAATTAACTGATATCAACCATTCTACAGAGGTCTAGTAGGAGAATATCTCAATTAACTGATATCAACCATTCTACAGAGGTCTAGTAGGAGAATATCTCAATTAACTGATATCAACCATTCTACAGAGGTCTAGTAGGAGAATATCTCAATTAACTGATATCAACCATTCTACAGAGGTCTAGTAGGAGAATATCTCAATTAACTGATATCAACCATTCTACAGAGGTCTAGTAGGAGAATATCTCAATTAACTGATATCAACCATTCTACAGAGGTCTAGTAGGAGAATATCTCAATTAACTGATATCAACCATTCTACAGAGGTCTAGTAGGAGAATATCTCAATTAACTGATATCAACCATTCTACAGAGGTCTAGTAGGAGAATATCTCAATTAACTGATATCAACCATTCTACAGAGGTCTAGTAGGAGAATATCTCAATTAACTGATATCAACCATTCTACAGAGGTCTAGTAGGAGAATATCTCAATTAACTGATATCAACCATTCTACAGAGGTCTAGTAGGAGAATATCTCAATTAACTGATATCAACCATTCTACAGAGGTCTAGTAGGAGAATATCTCAATTAACTGATATCAACCATTCTACAGAGGTCTAGTAGGAGAATATCTCAATTAACTGATATCAACCATTCTACAGAGGTCTAGTAGGAGAATATCTCAATTAACTGATATCAACCATTCTACAGAGGTCTAGTAGGAGAATATCTCAATTAACTGATATCAACCATTCTACAGAGGTCTAGTAGGAGAATATCTCAATTAACTGATATCAACCATTCTACAGAGGTCTAGTAGGAAAATATCTCAATTAACTGATATCAACCATTCTACAGAGGTCTAGTAGGAGAATATCTCAATTAACTGATATCAACCATTCTACAGAGGTCTAGTAGGAAAATATCTCAATTAACTGATATCAACCATTCTACAGAGGTCTAGTAGGAAAATATCTCAATTAACTGATATCAACCATTCTACAGAGGTCTAGTAGGAAAATATCTCAATTAACTGATATCAACCATTCTACAGAGGTCTAGTAGGAAAATATCTCAATTAACTGATATCAACCATTCTACAGAGGTCTAGTAGGAAAATATCTCAATTAACTGATATCAACCATTCTACAGAGGTCTAGTAGGAAAATATCTCAATTAACTGATATCAACCATTCTACAGAGGTCTAGTAGGAAAATATCTCAATTAACTGATATCAACCATTCTACAGAGGTCTAGTAGGAAAATATCTCAATTAACTGATATCAACCATTCTACAGAGGTCTAGTAGGAAAATATCTCAATTAACTGATATCAACCATTCTACAGAGGTCTAGTAGGAGAATATCTCAATTAACTCAACAATCGAAACGTCACATGGAAAATCTTACTGGTTGTGTAAAAAGAACTTTTTATAATCCATACTTACCAACCCGAAGAAAATGTTTAGAAATACAACAAGTCTTGTCTAAACCAATGGGACACAGCATATCTAATAGTCAGTTGATCACCCTGATGTTGAAACATACAGGTCTATAGTTGTTATCAGTTTGAAATGGTATGACGATAATATATTGTATTTCCAGGGTATACAGCTAGTCTGAATACTCGCTCTCCAGATTAGACAGGTTTCATTTGACATTAGTAATTGTGGCTAGAGAAAGATTCTGTTTTATTTATTACGCAAATCTAGATAAACTTGGTGATTCTATTTGGTACAGAGATCAATTTTCTTTATTATGTTGAATGGTATATATGTGTTTATACAAATGTAATATACTATAGGTATATACAATCATTTTTTTTATTATCAATTTATTAAAAAAATAAAATCACTATAAATAACTTGTGAAATTGTCATATTTTATGGTATCGGATCAGAGATGAAAAGTTGTCTTATGGGCAAAACGTTTTTTAATTGGATAATTTCATCCTTCTATGGGAAAATTTACTAAAGTTTGCAGTAAACCAAAATTCTGAAATAAGCTGAAAATTTTCATCTCTGTAAGGTATATATATATAAATACTGATCAATTTTTAGCTCACCTGGCCCGAAGGGCCAAGTGAGCTTATCCCATGGTGCAGCGTCCGGCGTCCAGCATCCGTCAACTTTTTCCTTTAAAATGCTACTTGTCCTGAATGGCTCAGAGGATTTTGACCAAATTTGGTCAGAAGCATCATTGGCCAAAGGGTTCCCAGTTTTGTATAAACGGAGGGTATAACTCCCCTGGGGGCAGAGGGGCGGGGCCAAATAGGGGGAAAATAGCTAAATCTTTAAAAATCTTCTTCT